CCCCCCTCCCGCTTCCTCCTGCTCCCTCCTGCTCCCTCTGCTGCCAAAGGGCTGTGTGTTCCCCACCCCAGGGCGCTACTGCTTTGCTCCCAGGTTTGCCCTTTGGTGTGTAAATAGGTCTGGGGGTTATGCAGGCTGCCCCATGGCTGCTTGGAAGGTTTTGGTGAGGGCTGCGAAGGCTCCACCTCAAAAACAAAAGGGGCAACCAGAAAGCAAGCCCAAAGCTCTGCCAGTGGCTCACAGTGTGACTGAACCCCCTCCTGGCACAGTGGCCGTGAGATGCCATGCTCCGGGATGCCCCTCCACCGCCATGCAAGGGGAGCGGGCAGGATGGTGGGTTTGCTTTCAGATCCTTGTCATTTCAACAGTTTAAACTTACCCTTCTTCCCGTTTCTTTTCTGGATTTTCCAGCCCTTTTTGAAGAGCTGCAGAGTCTCGACATTTTCTTGGCTGAGCTATACAAGTGAGTGTTCAAACAGTGACAACTTTCCTGCTGCTTCTCCCAGCCTAGCGACAGCTAACGAGTGGCTCTGACGAAACCTTGGGGTTGGGATAGCGGCACTGCTGCCGGAGCTTTGCCTCAGGCCTGGGCTCAGCCCACGAGACCACCCTTCCCCTCCAGACCAGCCTCCCTCCCCCGAGCCCCCATCCCACAGCGTCTGGTTCTGAAAGGCTTTTCACACCGTGTATTTACCTTCTCGCCTGTAACTAGGCATCTGGACAGTAGCAGCAATGAACGCCCTGACATCAGCTCCATCCAGAGACGTATTAAGGTACCAACCGTAAAAATCCCTTTCCATCCTTCTGGATCCCAAAGGGCTTGAGAACCCGGCCCCACTGCTCAGCCCTGAAATGCTTCGCTCTGCCTTTGGGTGGGCTCGGCAGGCTTGGCAAAGCCGCTGTGTCTTTGCGGGCGCAAACGGAGGAGCTTCTCAGCTCACTGGTGTCACTGGCACTCCTGAAAGGCAGCCTGGTCTGGAACAGGGTCTCCTTCCTCACGCACACAACAGCGCTGCGCTCGCCGCTGCGGAAC